AGGATGCATATAACATACATCTTTTGGGGCAAGGTGGGAGTGGGGGGTTTTGGGCGCCACACCTGGCAGTGCTCAAGGCTTATTCCTGGCTCAGTGCCCAGGGATTATTCCAAGGAGGATTCAAGGGACTATATGGAGTGCCTGGGCTATTAAACCCAAATTGGCCTTGTGCAAGGCAAGCACCCTACCCATTATTGCCTCTCCAGCCTCTATATCCTTTTTGAAAACTACATCTTTTCATATTCTCCATACCACTGTTCTTATGTTGAATGTTTTCATTTGATAAGCATTAAAATCACATTCACTATCTTATTCATATTTACATTGACCTCTTATATACAAAGCACAAAAGCTATAATTTGATTATGTATGTTCTTATTATTCAATGGATTCCTTCTGGAAAGAGAGCTGTTGATTAATCAGAGGGTTCTCTGGGTACTTAGAGAAGATATGTCTAAACATCAAAAAGACAAATGAATTAACAAACCATCAAGTAGTCAATGGCAACAGGCAGATCTCTAATAGAAACTGTCTCTCTGTTGTAAAAGTTAGCTTTAGTTTTTTTAGCCATAGTTTGGATAAATGTAACATTAAACAAATGTATTGGATATGTCTACACTCCGGAATGGTCATTGAGTGTATGTATGTGTATGTATGTATCTGTGTTTGTATGTGTGTATGTATGTGTATGTATAAAACAGTCTTAATATAGGGTTTTCTTCCCTGTGATGGGAGTTGTTTGCTACACACCAGCTGCACTCTTCAAGCTTTCTTATACACAACTTTAATATGTAATCTAGGATAAAGACCAGTTTAAGAGGAGGGATCTTCATATCAGGTTCTATTTAGCAATGTGATTCACCCCAAAGAAACTCTGAATATTTATTGTATTTGTGATTGTGGATGTTTGTTGAGTTCAAACTGAGATTAAAACTTACTTGCTTGTGAAATTGTCAACCATTAATAGGACTAAATCCATAACCGAAGTGTTTGTAGTTTTCGAAAAGATAAAATAAAAAGAATTTGAAGGAATCCCATATGGTTTTCTCTGATAATTTATATAACATGAGAAAACTATAAAATAAAAAGAAAAAATAAGACTTGAGTTGTTGGAGCTAAATGAGCAGAAAAGAGAGTAGAGGGTTAGGGATTAAAGAATTATTATGGATCTGTTTGAAATTTTGCATGTTTATGGACAAAGAAATGAAGTTTTGACATCTTTATTTTCTAGTCTTCAGTCTATGTCAAAGGAGAGATATGGAGTGAAGTAAGAAGCTGAATGATTGTTTTCTATCATGGAATTTTGTTTCAAACATCATGTCTATATGCTAACTAGTTCAAACACATACTTCTATTCCCAGACTTACCCCTGAACTCTGAATTTGTATTTTCACTTTTTATTAATATAAACCATACTCTATAAGATATTTGGAGGAAACTACTAAGCATGCATATCAAATATGTATAAAATTGATTTTCCCATATCTTAACTCATTACATTTCAATAAATGACAATCCATTGTCTCAGATATTAGGACAAATCAGTTGAAATCATTCTTGACTTCTCTCTTGCTCTAGTTACATACTACATACTCTCTGTAAGCATAATCTACCCTGTCTACAACTTTACCTCATGGTGTTTCACTAATTAAAAAAAAAAAGTAAGAACCAGAACCGTCTAGTTAGAAAGAATCAAGATTATGGTGCTCTTCAGCATAAATTTAATACACTTCCTTCTCATGTTGAGTAAAAGTCAAAGCATTTATGGGAATACATACACATGGTTTTACATTGTTTGACCTTTGAATGATTCTTTTTTAAAAAAGGTTCTTTGCCTACTTAATTAATTAATGTGAGGTCTCCCTGGATTAAGATGGGTTCTAACACTAATGGTTGGTGTCCTTATGGAAAACAAAGAGCTTTCAGTGAGTTTTTAAAGTGAACTACATAAGAAACTGAAAATTAATAAAAGCTTTCTTACTCACATGTGGTGTTTAACTAGCTAACTAAATAAAGTAAATGAACGGACGAAACCCAGCAAAACTAACTACTAGACTTGGTAAAAACTAGAGTAGTTTCCAGAGAAAAAGTGGAATGGGAGGAAGGGGTATAAGAATCTTTTATAGTGGTATTGTGGCAATGGTATTTTAGTGGTGGGTGTGGAGAATCTTATAAATATACTGAGATACTGAGCTAGATTGCAGTTTTATAGTATTGCAAACTAATGATATAGCAAATTTTAAGAGCTGTTGCAGAGAGAAGAGGAAAAAAATCTACAGGTAAAGTCAGCAATATCTCTTTTTACAAAGATGACGCTGAAAACCAAAAAGGAAACCCCAGCACCACCCAAAGCTGAAGCCGAAGTCAAATCTTTGAAGCCCAAAAAAGCATCGCTGAAAGGCATCCACAGCCACAAGAAGAAGGCATGTTGGGCTGCTCGTGGCTGACTATGGCGCCATGGCTGACCCGAGTTCGATTCCCCCCTCCCCTCTTGGAGAGCCCGGCAAGCTACCGAGAGTATCTCGCCCGCACGGCAGAGTCTGGCAAGCTACCCATGATGTATTCGATATGCCAAACACAGTAACAAGTGTCACAATGGAGACGTTACTGGGCCCGCTCGAGCAAATCGATTAACAACGGGAGGACAGTGACAGTGACCTAAAAAAAAGACAGCCATATGAAGAGAGAAGCAGAGAATAGAGCAATGCAGCTATAAGTCAAAGGTTGTATGAATTGTTAACAACCACCAGAGAATTAAGAGAGGGGCAAGGAAGAGCTCTTCCCTTGCTGCTTCAGAGTGGGAATCAACTCTATATGCCTCAAGTTCAGACTTTCATCCTACAGAACTGAGAGTCTGAATTTCTCTTTTGTGGCCCAAGTTTGGGATAATATGTTACAGTTGACCTAGGAACGAAGAGACCACTTTTTATCGTACATTCATTATTTTCATTTTTCAAAAATTTCCACCCAATAGTGACACTTCTATTTTTTCTCCTTAGTTGCTTTTCATTTCACCACAATTGTTCCCCTGGTCCTGCTTACCATGACCTTCAAGTCATCTGTTTCTGGAATATTCCAGTTTCTACATTTCCCAGTGTGACTCTGCCCTTAGCTTTCTGAAAGTCGGTGTGCATGAATCTGATCATTGCTAAATCAATACACAGATGCCTAAGACATCTGAGGTTCTACCTGCTTCTATTTTCTGTGACCAAAATCACAGCCCTGCACCATTCTGTGCCCCAAGCTCTTCACGTGAAAACACAAATGGACACCAACCTAGCTATGACACAGGTTCCTGAAGTTTAAACAAGATAAATGAGAAAGACCTGGGAAAAATGAAGGCTCAATTAAACTTGTAAGAAGCTATTCCATTATTATTAAGGACCTCTTTGAAGATGAAGAACCTAGCAAATAGAAATTTGCAGAGTTCTGATCTCTAGGCCATACTAATAAACCTTCTTTCCCCAGCACTTCACCTCATGTCTGTGTCTTTCCAGTTCAGCAACTTGATTTACCTTTAATTTCTGGGGAGCAAATCTTTTACTAAATATGCTGATAACCCAGAACAAGTTCCAGGCCTCTCATCATGACCCAGAAGAGATGTAACTGCAGCAAGAAAAGACACTCTGCCCTTATTTCTCAAGTTATTGTCTTTTCTTGAGTTTGAGCTACTGTGAACAGAGGAACTTAAGTTCAAGTAGTTTATAATCATCTTCAGGATTTTGGCATCATGGAGCTTTTATATGAAAAAAGAAGCCTATTAAAGGGGAAAATTTCTATGATATGCTTACTTGGTTTTTAAAGTAACCAAATTTGGTTTTTAAAGAAACCAAATTTTAATCAGTTCGTAACAAACGGTTAATCGTAATTTAAGATGACAGTGAGGAAAGCAAAATGATAAAAATCAGCTAAGTAATTATTGGGCTAATAATTAAAAATCATTGAAGTCCTAATCGATGTCACTTTTACATACATTATATATGCTATATTATCAATTAATGTTTGCTTTAGTCTATGTTGCCTTTCACTTATTCTAGCATTTGCTGTTGTTGCTCCTTTCTCTTTAAATGGCATTTTATGTAGGTGGTGAATGCCTTTTGTAAAGGAAGGTACCACCCAGGAGTACTCAGGGGCTACCCCTTACCCCACAGCGTGCTTTGCTTGAGGATATGTTGCTTATGGGTGCCCCCAGAAGTGCTAGGGTGTATGAATTTCAAGGGATCAAATTCAGGCATATATTCAAGTCTTTTAACTATATTCCCCTGCCCAATACTTTGTTTAGTTTTGTTTTACCATCAAGAGCTCTTAGATTCTGAAAATACAGAATTTAATTTAACGAAGATGAACACTATGAAACTAGTAATTATCTATAATACTCTTATCAAATAATACAAGTGTAAAACTCTTTGTCTTAAAAATATTTGCACTTTTGGCTTGAGAGTCATCTCTATTTTTGAGAAAAAGTTACATCAATAGAGAAAGCATTATTTTGAAAGCAGAGAAAGAACTAGATTTCAAAGTCAAAGTACAATACAGCATGAAAAAAATTAAACAATTTTATTTACACAATGGCATCCTCACAAAATATCTTTACAGGTCTTAATGAGTTCTCTGCTTAAGACTAAGTTATCTAGCAATGTGACAAGAGTCTTGTTTTTTTAACTTGACCAACTACCTATCCTTTCAGAGTCTCATGAAATACATTTGACAGATCCTTTTTACTTCTGAGAACCTTTGATAAGTTTCATTTATTCACATATACATTTGAATTAACCCTTTATGCAGGTTCACAGACCATAACTTTTTTGAACTCTTTTTTTTAGTGATTTTTTTCATTGGTGGGGGGTTACTCCTGGCTCTGCACTCAGGAATTACTCCTGTCGGTGCTCAGAGAACCATATGGGATGGCGGAAATCAAACCTGGGTCGGCCATGTGAAAGGCAAATGCCCTACCCGCTGTGCTATCGCTCCAGTCCCTTTTTTGAATTCTCTTGTCTTACCAGTGTGGTCAGTGACTTGATGGCAGTTTTTATTTGTAGACACACTATAAATAAACAAATACACAGCAAGTTAAACAAGGTGCATAACTAAATTATACTAAATTGCTTTCTAATTAAACATATGAGAATATGAGAACACTTCTGAAACCAAATAACAATCAGGAACTAAAACTGTATTCTACTGTGTTTTAACCTATAATGATTTTTTTCAATAAAATGTTAATATTTCAGCACCTATTTAAAAAAATCTGTATATGATGCCATTGCCCCAGCAGGGATAGTCGCATTGATGTCATGAATCTTTGCAAGAGAAAATTGTAAAGGTTAAAAAAAAGAACACTTACAATAATCCAGAGTCCAGCCAGTGCTGAATACTTTCTTGTTTGTACAAATCTTCTACAAGTAAGAAAGAAACAGAAGTCAACCAAAGCAACTGAAAACAACTCTACCCAATTACTCAATGACTATTCAATAGTTCTATTCCCTACATTTTAAATCACGCATTTCAATAATCACATTCTTTTTCCCCCCCAAACTTCTGATTTTATAGGCAGCCTTTCCTGGGAAAGGCTGCTAAACTTGGCAGAAGAAAAACTTGAAAAGATGATATGAGCAGGAAGAAAATAAAATCACCAAAGAGCAAGAGATGTTAGAATGATTTTTCAATTACCTGGAGTGTACATATACAAAGGGTGAAAAGGATGGGAGATTTTGTTTTTCTCTTGTTGGATATAAATCACCATGGAACCTCTCCTTATTGAATCAGCATTTACCTAAGGGAGCAAGCCAGTTATGTTTTTTTGCAAAGAGTTTTCTGCCAGGTTCCAAACCAAATTTGCATTCATTCCAGGGACAAATTGCACTAGCATCCCAGGACTGCCAAAGGCATCCTTGTTAGACACTCTTCTTTTAAGGTGGGTTTTTATCATTCTTAACACAAAGAAAACAGACAAAAGGAGATATAAGAAAGCATGTCTGTTAAATATTTGTTTTCATTTTTGTTAACCCTGGTCTACTCTATGCATTTCTTTGACCATAGAGTAAGGCATCTGGCAAACCAAACAAGAGAGGTGGACATGAGAGGGTCAATTGCAGTAGCTAAAATGAATTGCTAAGGGGGCAAAGAAATGAGACTGCCAAATGGTGACCCCAGTGGAGAGAGATTATTCTCTTTGTCCTTCTTACTGCTCTTCAAACTCTTAAAACTGTGAATGTCTCATGCAAGGCTTTCCAGTAAACATTGATGTTCTGCTAGAAACCTCATGAGTCTGACATAGACTCCACCCAACCTAGAGGTTTGGGGACTCAGGGTGAGGGGAGCTGAAGGAAGGTAGAGATTATCCTCTGATTGGTCTACTTTGATTAGGAAGGACTGTGTTTTGAGTTTCTTTCCGGGAGGTCAAAAGAACCCATTTTGTGCAAGGCTCTGATCTCTTGCAAGAACCTCAAAGGCAACTTTCTGTTCCAGAATTATTTTCCCGAGTCAGTGTTCCCATATCCCTTACCACCCACACAGGTACATTTTCCAAGTAGCCCTGAGGACCCTTTCTTACCCAGCCTGGGAACCGCAAAAGACTGACTTTCCTCCTCTGTGTCAGGAGGCAGTTGCTCATACAGGGGAACCCAGGCTCTCTTGGTGATTTTCAGGATGTCTCTTCTGTTCTTTTCCTGATCTCCTTGAGGGTTCTCAGATCCATGTGACTTCTCCGCCATCATAAGACAGGAACTCAGCAAACTAATTTAAAATATGCACATAAAAAAATCAGATACTCTTGAATTCAGCTCTGAGCTTGACTCCGTTAGATTGACTAGAATGCTTCCCCCACAATGAATGAAGCTTGTTTCATAACCTTGTGGATCTTGGATCATCCACCTAGGCTGAGCTCATTGCAGGGAAATAGTTTCCTGTCAATGGACCTACTGCTAGGCTAGGTAACCTCAGTGGTCACAGACTACATTCCTCACTCCAGCTGAAAGATCCAAACTGATGCTCTGATATGTAGACAAAGAGCAGAGGAATTGGGCAGAAGGGCGTTTCCACCCAAGTACTAAGTTTTAAAATACAGATTTACATAATAAGCATCCTTTGAGCATCACTAGAAGTGGTCTCTAAGAACAGAGCTCTGAGCTCATATTATTCTGCCCAAGTATGATGCTGATTTTTGTATTAACTGCAAATGAAAGAAGTTATCACATTTTAAAGTAAACTGAAGAGGAGAGGAGTTAGTTTATATATCCAGATTTCCACAGAAAACAGGATTGAAATTCAAGCACTAGACTCCAGTCATGCTCCAATGGTGAATAAACTACACAATTAACCCTATTGGATTGGGTATTTGTGACAATTTACAACATTAAGAAATGGATCATGTATATGGGTACAAAAAATTATCAGCTGCCCTATTATCTTATTGGTCTTTATTAACATCCTTGTGTAACAAAGGCCTAAAGAAGACAGAAGCTGAGTTTAGCTATGGAAATTGTTTAAATTTCCCAGATTATCAGCACATTCAGAACATGTGCCTCTCACTTATTCATTGATGTGTCATGTATTTGACTATATTCTCAACACATAGAAAATACAGTATAAATATATACAAAAATTTTAGTAGCAAAACTAATGTTCAAAACCACACTTTTTGACTAATTTCCTTCTGTAGCACTTATTTGGATATATAGTAGCTCATTTTGCACATTCAGAGAAATGACCAAATTGTCAAATATTTTTGTCAGTAGCATTTCTGGCATTCCTAAACCTATGCACACTCTTACTACATGACATATACCCCATCATTTCTAACCAGTATTCTTTGAGACCATTCATATTTATTGTAAGATATGAATAATAGTCTAAGTATTGGTCAGAATTCTAGAAACAATTTGTAGTAAAAATTTTTTAGATATTAAAATTCTATTATTCAATTACTGTATAAATGTACATTTATTGTTACAGTAGTAAATTACTGCAAAATCAATCACAAGTGTGATGATTAATCATTTTGTGTAGAACATAAATACTAAGAAACCACAATTACTTAAAAATTAGGGCAAAGTTTAAACAAATAATATCTAAAGGAACAATGAACATTTTTTTTAACTTTGTCATTTGGGGTTTTATTGTTTCTGAAAGCTCTTTTGTAGATTTTTTAAAAATTTTTTCCCTTTATTTTATTTTATTTTTTTACAGTTGTAGATTTACAATTTTTTGTGCTTGGGTTTCAATTATACAATGATCAGATACCCATCCCTCCACCAGTGCCCATTTTCCACCACCATGGATAATATCCCTCCCACCCCCATCCCCCCATCCCCCCTGTCTCTGTGGCAGGGCAATCCCCTGTGTTCTCTCTCTCCTTTTGGGTGTTGTGGTCTGCAAAAGAGGCATTGAGTGGCAAACATGTTCAGTCCATAGTCTACTTTCGACATGCATCTCCCCTCCTGGGAGGATCCTCCAAACATCCTTTATTTGGTGCTCCCTTCTCTATCTGAACTGCCCTTTCCTCTAGGATACCTGGCTGGCCTCTAAGTTATGGAGTAATCCTCCTGGTGCTGATCTCAGCTATTCTTGGGTATTAATCTCATACTTTGTTACTTTATATCCCCCAGATGAATGCAATCTTTCTATGTCTATCCCTCTCTTTCTGACTCATTTCGCTTAGCATGATACTTTCCATATTGTACCACTTGTATGTAAATTTCATGACTTCATCTTTTCTAAGAGCTACATAGTACTCCATTGTGTAGATGTACCAAAGTTTCTTTAACCAGTCATCTGAGGAACAGTGAACATTTTGACCAATAAACTACATCATGTTAACTTCAGGAACATCCAATAAAAAAAATAAATACTTATTAAATCTTTCATGGTAACACAAAATAAAATAATATAGATTAGATGATATCACTGTATCACTGTCCTCCTGTTGTTTATTGATTTGCTCGAGCGGGCCCAGGAACATTGTGAGACTTGTTACTGTGTTTGGCATATCGAATATGTCACAGGTAGCTTGCCAGGCTTTGCCGTGCGGGTGAGATACTCTCGGTAGCTTTCCGGGCTCTCTGAGAGGGGTGAAGGAATCAAACTCCGGTTGGCCATGTTGGCTGTGTGCAAGGCAAACACCTTACCTGCTGTGCTATCACTCCAGCCCAGATTAGATGGTATAGCTAACATTTATAGAATTGTTTGATACACCAATATCCACATCACAAATCAAAATAAACTTTAGGACTTTTTATTAATTCAATTTTACAAAGGTTTTAGATACTTTGAATAAATGATTTTTTTTTTTGCTGATGCTTTGCACTTCTGATTGTGGATCAGAGTGCATTATTTCTGAGCAGGCAAAAGATATTTCTAAACACAGAAATTTCTAGCCACAGAATACTTTGCTAGGTGTTAGGAGCAAAAGTGTACCACATTTTCAAATATTATACTATAAAAATCATTGTTTTAGTAAAGGGGAATGCTTTATTCCTCTGTCTCCAGACTTTCACTGACCTCAGCCATCAACCTTACTAAATCAGTGAGGTCTTGTGTCCTGACAGCTCAGTTGTTCTTGGCTATGGAGCAGGAAGGCTCTTGCCAAGGAAGGTGGGAGCCCTTGCTAAAGGCAAGAGTCAGGAACCAGTTTGTAAAGAAAGACTCCTTTGTCATTTGAGTTTTAGTCGATGACTTCCCAGTAAGTAAACAAATCTTCTTTTGGAAATGATTCTCCGGTGCTAGAAAACCTTCCTTTGGTATCTACTTGCTGTTACCGCCCACAGCAGCCCTTGAAAGAGAGGTCCGTCAGGGCAGAACTAACTTGCCAGGGGCGCTGGCGGTGAAGGCTGGAGGCCCTTGCTAAGTGCCCCAGTTAACTCCCTTTTGTCTCTAGTTTATTTGCAATCAAAGTTTTAGAAAATCTGACTGGGCCAAAGTGAATATTCTCCCTGAATTACATTATTCTTAGTGCTTAAGGTCCTCTTCTTTCTCTTTAGAACCTCACTATTTGATGGTCACATCAAGAATCTTTTTATCAGAGAATTCCAAGAATGTGAGAGATTTCTAAAATTAATCATGTTGAATAAAACAAGTGGATAAAACAACATGTGCATCAAGAATTTAGTTTTGTAAAAACAATATATTGGGGGAAAAAAGAAATGTACTGAAATGTAATCAAGGTTTCCAAGTTGTAAACATAATAAAAATGAGAAAAAAAAACCTGACTTTGTTACATTAATTTTACATGGCATTTTCTTTCACTTGAGCAAAGCTAAGTGTGCAGGCTCCTTTTGACTACGAAGATCTTCAGACCACACTGATGTCATTGAATTAGATACTTTGACAGCTAGCAGTGTCAATCATTACAATTTTGTCCCCTGGGGTTATTTTAGATTTTTACAATTTCATAAATACAGGTTGTCCCGTCAAAGAGGTTCTCACTTGCAGAATACCAAATGTTTTATATTTCTGTTCTTCATGATCCGACTACAGCATTTTATTTTGCCCAGGATAAATAATCTAAAACTATTAGATGAGTGTTTAGTTATTTGGTGGAGGAAAATTTGGCAAAGCCAGCATATTTGATTCTTTATGGGATTTAAAGAGCAAGGACTTTCAAGAATACAATTTCAGATCTCAATCTCAGTTAAACTTGATGTAGGCAAGTAGTCAGGGAAAGACCCTCATGGCAATGGAATTCCTAGAATGTAATAAAACCAACAGGGCCAAGGCTGCAAACAAAGGAACCAAGGCCTGATAAGACCCTCACCTGGCACCAGTAACAGACCCACAGAAGACTGGACCCCACCTTCAAGAGAAGCTCCAGCAGAAACAAAAGGCCAAGAAGGGAATTTCAAAAAGGACCATCAACCACTCCCAACTCTAACCCGTTGGTAATCACCCTAGCAACAGACTTTACCTAGCTAGAAAGCCCCACATGGGGTCAGGTTGGAGAAACTCTATAAAAGCCACCTTGAACAAAGGAAGGACGCACATATGCTGCCAGAGCCTATGTGCTGCTAATGTCCACGTGGCCAAGCACAGGTGGTGCCCAAGCACATGTGTCTCCTGCATCTCCCCTCTTGAGATGCTTACTGGGGCTCTCTCCACATTTGGAGAAGTCCACAGTCTTTCTTGAGCTCATTACTCTCCTTCACTTTCTCTCCCTCCTTCCCCTTCTTAAAAATACTCCAAATAAAATCTGTTTTTACTTCACTGCTCGTCTACTCCTGAAATTCTTTTTCTGTGAGGCAAGACAAGAACCCAGTAACCCTGGGTAAAGCCAAGGAGTGATTTTCCTTTCCTGCGAAGAGCAAATCCTTGCTCCCACCTGAGTCGGTGGCTCCCCCAGAAACCAGGTGGTAGGGATCAACTTCCATACCAAGAAGATCAAGCGGACATCAGGTGTGGCTTGGAATCCACCTGGTGGGGCTGGTGGGGTCTGGCCCATGCTGCGCAGAGGCTCATTGCACACTTTATAAGTCTTAGTCTTCCAGCCAGTCCTGGAGTAGCAGAGGCAGTTCAGGAGAAAGTGACCATCTCTGTCCTCTCATAAGCCACCCCTGGGTCCCACCAACTGCAAACTGATTTTCTGATATTACCTTGTGGGAAGTTTTCAAATATCTTTGATAATCTATTTCTTTATCTCCTAATAGGAGTGTAAAATAACCACCAATAAAGTTGTTTGGCAGTGTGTATACAAAAATACCCAAAAAACCTGCTTAGTTTTTCATTCCCTTTTATCTGTCTTGTCC